TGTTCATTGTTTTTGTGCGATTTTTACTTCCGCCTTTACAGCTATTTGAAAATTCGACTTTATACTACCGATTAATACCACCTTTTAGTACCGAATTGTATCAAATTCATGTGTTTTTACATGCCAAACGTTAATTAGTTTATCGATTTTTTACTACCTAACGTTCATATGCTTTTTTTGTCAGTAAGAAATCCCTTAAAATCCTTTAAAATACAACATTTCACCAATGCATCATCTAGAATACGCACTGCATGGGTACTGTCCACAGTTCTAGTTGTGGGACTTTGTTTCTGCAATAGGCAATAGGCTCTATAAGGCCCAGTTTATGATCTTCTTCGGGTTTTCATTTTTACAATCTACCTGTAATTTCTGACCTGATAGCACTTGAAAAATTACGAAATTTTTGTTTTTGCATCAATTGATCTGAAATTTTAAATGCAAAGAGACTTCACTAATGTAAATAATATGATACAGTCAAATTTTGTACGTCATTTCCGATTTTAAAGAGGAAAGCGACTGAACTTCAAATCTATTTGAACCCATGTGAGAAATTTGCATTCATTAACCGATGAACTACAAATTTCCTTAGTGATCACTGATGATGTAATAACGTCGTAATGACGTCATCTCCTGTGACAATTTGGAATTCGGTGTATGAATAAACAAAAACTTTCAACTAAAATAGACAAGACGATGGACCAAACCTCGGTTTCTGAGTTTGTGTTGAATATTTAAGTTATTTGTTTCTCTTACAGATGAACTTTCAGAAATTTTTTGTTTATATTGATATTTATGTGGGCTCTTGATTGAGTTCTTATTTTAGCGGAAAATTTCGAACAGATTCATAATGCACTTTTTCACAGCTTTAAATCAATATATCAAATGATATGCATTATCAAAATTTGTAAAAAAAATACTATTGATTAAGAGATTATAATTATGTGAGTTAAAAAGATTATGTAACATGATTGTCAGGTCAGCAGTTTTTAGAGAGTTAATGGGATTTCAATATTGTTGCCGACTCTTGTGTAAGTTCTTATTGTAAGATAACAACAACAGCGTTAATTACCATTTATTACAAGGACAACATATCATACACATATCTTCAGTAACGAGGGGGAGACATGCTCTTGGGATTTCACAATTGAGAACCGAACCTTTCCAAACCAGCCATGATGTTCGTCTGTCAATGTCTGTCTCACACAATCATAAATCGCACGGACTTGCATAACACGTGATCTATCCAAGTAGTCCAATCACACCAGGCACAAGCTACCTGATACGAGTGTCGACCCATACACAACATAGATCCCCCTCTTAAAAAGACAAGCCCCAGGTCGTGACTTTGAAATTCTATGGACATCAAAAATATAACATTTAAACACTATCGTCGAGCACATAATCACACAACCAAACTGGAGCTCTTCTCAGCCTTACTGGTCTTCCACCTCGATCTATGACTGTAGTATCTTCCAACATAGGTTCACCAACACCATCAGCAGCTAAATTGGTATCTACGGCCGGGTCATCAGTTGTCCTAGCCGAATCGAAATCTACCCCAGAACCAAGATTAAGTTCGTGGTAGTTGTCCTCATCCACCAGTTCTACATCATCACCCATCGTTCCATTTCCTTGTTTCTGTTCCCAACTCCTCACTACTTTACGTTTGTCCAATCCATCAGTACCACTGGGTTTTATGCTGCTAGCCTGCTCACATGTAAACTCAGAAGCATTTGAAGGAGGACTTGTAACATTCTTCTCAACAACTTGATTTGAAGGAGGACTTGTAACATTCTTCTCAACAACTCGATTTGAAGGAGGACTTGTAACATTCTTTTCAACAACTTCATGACACACCCGACATGGCTTTAGATTGTTCAAATGAACAACCCTTCTTATTTTCCCCCCTTCCAACTTAATACGATACACCAAATCTGAAATCCTTTTCTTTACGACCCACAGACCAGACCATGGCCTCAGAAACTTTTTGGTCAAACCACGCTTAACATTTTTATTAAAACACCATACCAGCTCACCCTCCTTAAAACTCTCTCCAAAGGATCTCCTATCATAATAATCAGCCATACGTTCCTGACCTACACTCAAATTTTGTCGAACCAGTTCGTATGCTTTTACAAACCCATCTTGCAATTCTTGAACATAACATCCCAATGAGTGCTCCTTTCCTGGTGGACTACCATAAACTATATCCAATGGCAACTTAATTTCTCTCCCAAACATCAAATAAACAGGTGTAAACTTCGTCTGTTTGTGAACACTTGTCCTGTAAGCCATCATAACTCTGGGTAGGTGAACATCCCAATCTGTATGGTTTTCGTTTATATATTTACTCATCATGTCAGCTAGGGTCCTATTGAATCTTTCAACCATGCCATCAGACTCTGGGTGATAAGGAGTAGTCCTGGTTTTCTTAATGCCAAGGATTTCACAAACATCCCTAAATAACTTAGAATTAAAGTCAGCACCTTGGTCACTATGAATTTGAAAAGGAATACCATACCTACAAATAAACTCATCTACCAATATACGAGCAACAGTCTCGGCCTTATGATCTACTAAGGGGAAGGCCTCCACCCATTTGGTAAAATAGTCTGAAATGACAAGTACATATTTGTTGCCAAGATTAGATACAGAAACGGGACCTAATATATCTAGAGCTATCTTTTCAAATGGAGCACCGACCGAATGAGGTTGTAAGGGAGCAATTCTCTTCTTACTTGGACCCCTCCGACTTGCACATTTCATACAATCTCTACAGTGTATCTCTACATCCTTCCGTAATCCATACCAATAGAACCTATCCTTAATCCTTTGTTCAGTTTTAAGAACCGCCAGATGTCCCCCATAGACTGCATTATGAGCCAAATTCAACACTTCTGAAACAGACCGTTTAGCGAATCACAACCCTCGACTGTGCACTCCCCTCCGTATTGATTTTCAACACCTGACCACATAATTGATCCCATTTACTCCATAAATCCTTGACAACTGGACTTCTACCTTCAACATATCTAAACCCTGGTCTTACATCTTGTTCTAAACCCTGGATAATAAAACGCAAATCTTCATCTTCATACTGTAACCGTCCAACTTCAAAACTATCCAACCTCTCGGCCCAGTGATTACTTCCCGAGGTAGCAGACACCTGATTCACAAGAGCACTGCCTGTATGCCCAGAATCAGTAGCGCCACATTGTCGACATGGTATTCTGGACAGTGCATCTGCATTATTATGTTTCAAACCGGCCCTATGTTCTACATCAAATTCATATTCAGACAACTGCGAAATCCGCCGTGCCAACTGTCCTTCCGGTTCTTTAAAACTCTGAATCCATTTCAACGCCTGATGATCAGTCCTGACCTTAAATTTTCTCCCATATAAATAAGTTTTGAAGTGCTTAACAAATGAAACCAAAGCTAATAATTTGCGCCTAGTTGCACAATAATTGCGCTCGCTCTTATTAAGAGACCGACTGGCGTAAGCAATGACTCTCTCCCCACCATTTTGAACCTGTGACAAAACTGCCCCGATGCCGATATCACTAGTATCAGTGTCTAATATGAAATCCAACTTCGGATCAGGATAAGCTAATATCGGAGCTTCGATCAGTCTCTGCTTTAATATAAGAAAAGATTGATTACATTTTGACTCCAGACAAATTTTTCTTGCTTTTGTGTTAATCTTAGCAACAGTGCTGCAATTGTGGAAAACCCCTTTACATATCGTCTATAGTACGAGGCAAGACCCAGGAACTTCTGGATATCTATCGCTGAACTGGGAATAGGCCAATCTTTAACACAGGCTACCTTTTGCTGGTCGGTTGATACCCCATCTCTAGATACTATGTGTCCCAGACAGGAAATTTCTTTCTGAAACAAGTGTCACTTACTTGGCTCAATCTTTAACCCAGCATTCCGCAGCCTGCCGAACACTTCTCCAAACCGTTCAATATGTTCTTCAACAGTGCGACTGAAAACAATGATATCATCTAAACCAAGCAAATTTCTCACTGCAAACCTCCAAGCACAGCTTCCATCAACCTCTGAAAGGTGCTTGGCGCCCCACATAACCCAAAAGGCATTACATTAAATTGATAGAGCCCATAGTTCGTAACAAATGCAGTCTTTTCTCTATCCTCAGGCGCGACTTCGACTTGGAAATACGCCTGAAGAAGATCTAAGCTGCTAAAAATTGTGGCACCACTCAAAGCATCCAAAGTTTGATCTATCCTGGGCAGTGGATATGCATCTTTCTTGGTTATGGCATTCAGCTTACGATAATCAACGCAAAACCGACTAGATCCATCTTTCTTTGGTACCAGAATTATCGGACTAGACCAAGGGCTATGCGATGGGCTTATCAACCCTCCCTTCAACATGCTATCGATATGTTCCTTTACTAATGGCTGCTTGGACAAAGGTAATCGTCTACACCCCTGTCTTATTGGAACACCATCGCCTGTATAGATAGGATGATAAATTTCAGATGTTCTGCCTATATCATTCGGCCCCTTTGCAATAATATCAGAGTAAGAGTTCAGCAAATTTGACAGGTCTGACCGATGTTTCTGGTTCAATAAAGCAACATCTACATCCAACCCCAAGAAATTTTCTTCCTTCCCTCTACTTACAACACTCAGGGTCGAGCTACCTGTCACCTTTGTCACCATGTCTGGACTAACTACATCCTGGAACAAACCAACTGTCTTATCCTTGTAAATTACAACTGGCTCAGGAGCAATATTCGCAACCCTTAGAGGCACTCTTCCAGAATCTGAAATGACTAAAACTCTGGCAATAGCAACGTTAGATTTTGATGAAAATATCTTAGAACCCTCCACCATTCCAACCTGTTTAGGGTACGAAACCGTTCTACCCTCAACAACTAATTTACCAGGCAAGATCATCTTATGCCCCCCTGGAATTGTAACTGTTTCTGCTAAAGAAACTCGACATACAATACTTTTCTTTGTAGATCGTAATGGAATCGTTTTTCCATCAATCATAAGTTTCCGTGAATGGATGTCAATTACTGCTTTACTTTTCCCCAAGAAATCAAGAACCAAAATGCAGGATTGCGCTAAGTCAGGGGCTACCAGTACACGATGGACTATATCCGCATAGCCCAGTTGGAACGTTAACCTCACCTCCCCCAAAATATGTATAATTTCGCCATTAGCAGAAATGACAGATTCAGAAAAAGTGACCAGACGATTACCCAGAGGTGTGCTACGGCCTGTTGCACAAATTTCATCCCACAACCTCTTATTGATAAGCGTATAGACAAATCCGGTGTCCACCAGCATATCCGTTGTAATCCGTTCTACTAATCCAGAACACAGTAACGAACATCCTCCACAATCTAAACTTTCAAAGCCTCCCCCCCCTATCCTTCAAAGGGCTATTTACATCTATGACCGACGGTTGCCCTGCACTTCCGGTCGCTGTCAGTTTCCCGAAAAATTTTGCTTTGTACAATTAGCCTGGATATGTCCATAAGACCCACAGCTCCAACACTGACAACGATCTGACCGATCACCAAATTTCGTGCAATTTTGCCGTTGATGGCCAGCTTCACCACAGTGCCAACATTGCATAGTTTGGGCCACACCTCGCCTAGTCCGCTCTCAGCCCCAGCTGAAGATATAGAACTCATACCTGACAGGAGTTTAGTCATCAGACTTATTAGCTCATCTGTTTTAGATGTGGTTTGCCCGCCAACTGCACCAGTCAAGTCGCTCACAACTGGTGTTGGTTTGTTAGCACTTTGATTACGTACATCTCTTTCTACGGCTTCCCATTCGATACTCATTCTAACAGCATCATCTAAAGTTGCCGGATTCATGTGTCTAACCTTTAAAGAAATATCAACCCCACCCAATCCCCGTAAAAATTGGTCCCTGGCCAATTCGTCTCGTATACCTACACTGACAAGGGGATATGCTTTCCTAGCCAAAATTCTTAATGCATTGCTAAAATCCAAATAGCCTTCATCAGATTTTTTGACCTTCGTCAAAAATTCGGATTTGTACAAATCAGGACGGCGAGTGCCATCAAGACGCCTTTTTAACTCATCCTCCCTTTCCCTTTTTGCCCTAGGTTCTATATTGTTGAATACTTTACGAGCTGAACCTTTAAGCTTGATGGCCACAAACTGACACTTTTCCTCATCTGTCCACTTGTTGACAGCTGCACAAGCCTCAAAACTCTCCAACCAATCAATAAACTCTTCTTCTTTCCCTGTAAATGTGTCTGGAAGAACAATTGGCCTCACAGGCCCTTTACTTGTACCATCATTTTGGAGTACGGACCCAGATTTTGAACCTGAAGGTTCTTGTCCCCCCGAAGCGCCCTTATCACCCTTATGCATCCTTGAAATAAATCAAATATAAATTAAACAACTAATTTTATGGCTCGGGGATCCAACTTGGATCTCTCCCACGGAGATGTTATAACCTAACAGCACTCACTTTTAACCAACACTCATTAACATATATTTCCCACTGAGATGCTATAGCCTAACAGTACTCACTCAAACATGAAAGAAGAAAATAACATAAATACAATTAATATAATTACAATACATTTAAACGGTTCTCTTAACTCTTTTGAAATCCCAAGACTCTCTGTCCTCCCCCTCGCTTTCACTGTCCTCACTATCCTTTCTGCTATCTAACTCCCTAACTGAATAACGCCATTCTTTTTTGCACACATCAATCAGTACTCTTTGCAATACCTTTTTTAAATCTATATCAAAATGTAACACATCCAGAAAATGTTTGGCGTCATTCCTATTCACCCAACGATGAGTCCCATTAAGACGCTTCTTTCTTGAGGATTTAATAACATGCGAATGCCAGGAAACAGTGTAGCACCCTCGAGCGTGATTTAACTGAGTTGCATTATTCAATTGTTTAATGCCAGCATTTATTTCTGATAAAACTTTATCAAATTGTTGTCGTTGCCCACGGCTGTATTTGTTGTATTTGTGAAAAATAATGGGTGGTATGGTAACAATACCTACTAATGCACTTGGCAGAAGACCTTTGACCTCGGACTTCAATTTGGATAAACTATCCAAAATGCAACCGGCAGATGCCCCGGAAAAAACTAAATTTTCTATTACCTGCAAAGGTCGTCAAGTTGTTAATCCCCACAGCTAATTTCACGATCGGAAGAACAACATTTCCATCTGGAAGGTTTTTCTGTACTAGTTGCAGAATATCTTCGATTTTAGCTCCACTTTGAGAAAAACAGCTAAGATCTACTTCCTTGTCTGTTAAAAATCTCTCAAAATTCTTTACCCTGGAGTCTCCATAAAGGCGTATGTGTGTCCTATCTTTACTAGTACTACTGGTATTGTCGGATGGACCCGGCAGAGCGAGATCCGAGCCACTCCAGCCACCACTGTAAGATAACAATTACCATTTATTACAAGGACAATATATCATACACATATCTTCAGTAACGAGGGGGAGACATGCTCTTGGGATTTCACAATTGAGAACCGAACCTTTCCAAACCAGCCATGATGTTCGTCTGTCAATGTCTGTCTCACACAATCATAAATCGCACGGACTTGCATACCACGTGATCTATCCAAGTAGTCCAATCACACCAAGCACAAGCTACCTGATACGAGTGTCGACCCGTACACAACATTATTAACCTAAAGGAAAAATTCGAACAGAATTAAAATGTCAATTCACAGCTTTAAAACAATATATAAACTAGAGCCACACGTGGCACAGAGTGGGACTTTGCAAATGTAGCAAAATGCAAAAGACTCTGAAAAAATCACGCGCACGAGCAGTCTAAAGTTGAGAAGAATTCTTTGGAAGATTGTTGTAACGGAAGTAGACAGACCTCACAAATGAAAGTATCAGAAGATAGCCAAGGTCAATGACATTTGACATTGAAAGGGAGACGGTCAACAAAGGTCAAGGTTACGAGATACAAGTCATCAAAATTTTTAAATATATACGGCTATAAAACAGGAAGTTGAGATAGGACAGCAAATATAAAAGTATAAATAGATAGCCAATGTGAATGACCTTTGATCCTACAAAAATCAGGGTCAAAAAAGGTCAAGGTCAAAAATTGAAAATTTTGAATTTTCAAAACCTGTTCCTTTTTTTGAACTATAAAGCTAAAACAATCGAACTTCTAAGACAACGTGGCTCAACGGATGAAGTAATTGTATGCAATGTTCCATTTTGAACAAATGCTTACGTTGCGAGTTATGTCCCTTGCCAAAATTGTCAATAATGAGTAATTTAACCCGGATGTGCTACGCCCACCTCAATTTCTTTTGCATAGGTTAATTGATATTCTGAATGTTATGTTGTGTTCCAAATTTAAAGCTTCTACATCATACAGGTCAAAAGATATAGGTCAACAAGAGTCAATAAAGGTCAAAATAGAAAAGTGAAAATATGGAAATTTCAAAACCCGTTCCTTTTTTGGAAATATAAAGCTGAAACAATTGACCTATTAACACAAACTGGCCAAAATAATGAGGTAATTGTGTGCAAAGTTCCTTTTTGAACAAATGTATCCTATGTGAGTTATGCCCCTTTCCCAAAATGTAAACAATTAGTAATTCAACCCGGAAAATTCATGAATTTCAATTTCGCTTTAAAAAACTATTGTTATAAATCACTTGAAAGAGCATGAAAAGCACATTAAGAATCCGAAAAAATTAACCCTCTAGGTTAACTATTTCACGTGCTAGATCAGTCCAAAGTTGCGAATTTGGCTGTTTTCGGACAGCTATAAAACCGGAAGTACATGTCGGAGGTCAAATGTCAAAGTATTAACTGATAGCTAAGGTCAATGACCTTTGACCTTATGAAGGTCAAGGACATCAAAGTTCAAGATCACGAGATATGACCCTTCAAACTTCGAAAATATTCAACCGGTTGTTGCAAAAAAGCAAAATTGAGAATCGAAAAACGGCTTCCTAATGTCATGTTTTTTTTTTATCTTCTTTCATTTGACACCAAAATCATTTAAATCGGATGAGCCATTATGTCTGAATAAAAATCGAATCATTTCAGACAAATCAAAATGGCGGCCAAAGTTTCACGTCTGTTCCAGATTTTTTTTTCTTCGTTTTTTTGTCATAACTTTGTCTACCTATCAGCATAAAATTTTTTGTCCTATACAAATTACACCGGAAGATATTCAACCGGAAGTGAACATCGATTTCCTTTTTAAACCGGAAGTGAAATTGAAAATTTAACTGTGCCATTTTGTTTACTTTCTTAAACTGTCTTTGCTCAATTTTTTTCAGATTAATCAGACAAAAAGCAAAAAAAATGAAAAAAATGGAAAATTTGGCAAAAAATAATGTCTGCGACAAATTTTCGAATTTTGAAATTTTGAAACTGCCATTCTTTCAGATTTTGCCAGTAGATTCCAAAAATGCAAACCCAAAGAAATCGACCCAAAAATACGACTTCTAGAGCCGATTATCTATTCTTGCATATATTGCACTTCCAGTTTTGCAAAAAAGATCCAAAATATATTTATGCACATCGTCGCCTGTTATGTTCTAAATTAGCTTTCAAACTTTAACTGTCATAAATATTTGGTGTGACTGGATGTAAGAGTGAATGTAACCTAATTCAGTATAGTTAGAACTTGTTAATCGGGACTGACCTGATTGAGCATTATGGGATGGGAAAAGCGTGTATAGTGAAGTGAAAATGGCGTGGATGTTGCTGTCTCTGACTTGGCGGTCAGCATATCGGTTTTTACCATATTTGTCATAAACATATTATTGTATCATTGTGAATCGTGTAATATTGTTACTGTGAGCTTTGTACTTATATAGAGTGACAATTGTTAGTTTGTGAGCCTTTCCATGTTAAACTGGATTCGTGAATATATAGTGAACGGGAATAATTGAGTGTGAAATTGGATTCTCATAAACCATAAGTATTTTCACTGACATTTCTTTATTTCATCATATTTTAATGTACTATTCTTATCTGACCAATATACAATTCATTTTCATAGAACATTCTTAATCATTTGGGTAAAAATGGATAATTTGCAAGACTCCCATCAAAGTTGTCTCCAATGGCGCCAATGTATGACCTTTGAACTTGAACATTCTCATGAAGCATGATACAATAGTTGAATATGAGGTGCGTAACAAACGGTGTGCAGTCTCCAAAACCGCCAGTGCAGAGCAGAGCAGTAAATGCTGCAACCAACATGCTGTGTAAAAACCGTGATTGATTTGACTGTATATTTTGTGAAAAAGTAGAATATTATAACTGACATTGTGATTATAGTGAAAAACTTGTGACAATTTTATGAAATATTGAACATGGATAACCCAGACCCGCCTGTAACTGATAATCAAGATCCACCTGTGGCTGATAACCCAGACCCACCTGTCATTGTGTTAGATAACCCAGACCCACCTGCCATTGTGTTAAATAACCCAGACCTACCTGTACAAAATCATCAACACGTTCCTGTCAATGATAATAATGTGCAAACAGACAATCCTATTGAACAACCTTTAGAAAACTTAATAGGAATTGGTGCTGATATCGTCCCAGATGGGGCCGGTGAAACTCTTAATAACATTGTTGTGGAAGATGACATTCTACCTAGAGACAGTATATCTCAAGTGAAATCCAATGTGCGCAGTACCGCATCATCTAGTCTTTCTAAGATAAAATACAAAGAGAAGAAAAGAGAAATAGAACTACAGAATGAATTGAAGAATTTGGTGGAGAAAAACAGAATGGAAGATGAAAGGCACGTTATAGAAAGTAGATTACAGGTAGAGAAAGCTGAGGAAGAAATAAGACAGGCCTCAGAAAGAGCTGTGCGTTTGAGACGTCATCAGGAATTACAGGACAGACTACGTGAAATTGCCAGGAAAGAGGAACAGTTAAAAATACAATCTCAACTTTCAGTTGCTGCAGAATTAAATCGGATTTATGTTGATAGTGAAATAAGTTTTAAACCTCAACATTCTAAAGCTGCTATGGTGACAGAACCAAAAGTGACTATTAAACCTAATATAGGAATTCCTGTGAACAATCAATATGATTCTTCTACGGATAATATTCAAAGTGTAAATCCTGTTAGAGTTCCTTGTGAATCTGTAGTTAACATTCAAAGTAAATCTACGAACAATCCTACTAGTAGTGAAGAGAACCAGATTACTTCTATTCTTAATAGAACAACAGCGTGAGCAGGCTCTGCCTTCCCAAGAATTAAAAACATTAACTGGAGCTAACATTTTGGACTACCCAATATTCAAAACCAACTTTAAATATGTAGTGGAAGATAAAACTGAAGATCCAGCTAGGAGGCTAGAACTATTATTGAAATATACGAATGCTGATGCGTATGAACTCATAAAGCAATGTCCGATGATAAATCCAGCATCTCTTGCGTACAAAATAGCAAAAGAGCTATTAGAAAGGGATTATGGTGATCCGTATGTCCAAGCAGCTACTTTTAAGGCTGAGGCTGAATCCTGGCCAAAGATTATCCCTGGAGACAATAAAGGACT